TAGCTTACTTCCCTTTCGAGTGAAAATATTTGTTGAAGAGATTCGAAAAACAATCCCACCAGAAGACGACGGAGTTGCCTTTTGATTATACTTAAATATGATATTTAGGATGATACCTTGCCCTGATGACGTCCGTCATATGAAGGACAAAACCTTAGCATGTTTCCACGGAACTCGAAGGGGATTGCCTCGGAAGCAGCGTCAACAAGAACGTTTCAATAAAGATAAAATAGACAGCTGATCAAAGGGAATCTATCATCCTATTCTGGTGGACCGAACTTGGAATCGTTTCACCAAATATTTTATCCCAAAATGGAAGGGGCCTCCATAAATCTAAGTTACCAAGCTAACCTGGGTACTATGCATGAAGAAATGCATTAGAATATTCTGGCAGATAATCCTCTTGAAATATGATAAAGGCTTAAATAATTTACGGAACTTTTGCGTCTAATAGTTAGCATCCTGATAATTTTTTAAATTATCATCAGCTTTAGACTTAGCATGAGTTTATTCACCCTAGGTCACTTAAGCGATTTTACACTTGATACTTGAGTTTTCCAATAATGAGATGACCCCAAGATGCCAGTGAATCGCATTTAACATTGCCACACAATAGACAACAATTTTGACCCTGCCTAGGTCTTATCAGATCTTTCATTAGGATTTGATACTGGGACGTGAGTATCTATGCAATGCAACTACTCTACTCCACTATACGATACGGATGCCAATGAGTAAAACGTGAGATGCGGCATTTAAGACAAGCCGGGTCACTAAAAACTCACTTTTATAGTGGGATTGCCGATTAAGTAAGCATGTGTACTAGTCCTTTCGATGACTATATAAATCGGCGTCACAGTAAGTACCCTAGAAATACCAAGCTTTTACAACATAACTATTGATAGTCACGGAAACTAATAATATAGAAAATTTGTACTTAATATTAGCAAGCCTATCATCATAAATTTTTTGACAAAAGATTTCCTGACGTTTCAAGAGTCAGGGAGTTTTGAAAAAAGTAAATCCTGTCTGGTATATACTCAAAATCTAATGACTTACCCTCTTATCAAGAATAGACGCGGCGTTTTTTGAGAATTAATAATTTAATACATGAACGGAGATCATTTAATTGCAGTGCATATCTGGCTTATGATGTCTTCTTCAGAAGCAAACAACATACCAAGCGTCAATTGAAAAATTAATGATGCATACCCTGTCTTTTTCAACTCTTATTAGGTCCATCTTGCAATCAACTAATTAATTTCTTATCGGCTCCCCCTCAAGAAGCGAGCTTCCCTTCATTAAATCTTTTTTAATTACAATTTTGATTACATTTATATAAGTAACTGATAGTTTATTTATTACTATTATCATTATTATTATCAGTGTTTCTGGTATAGGCTAGAATATGACTGGTGCCATTATACAACTTCACTGTGGGGTATCATTGAAACAGATAGTTAACCTACCGAGGACTGAGTAATTAGAATTAAGTCTTGTAGCTGGAAGGCATTATAGAATGAAATTATGCAAATTTTATTCGTATGAATCAGAAAGCCTTTTTTAGGCTAATCCAGGGAGGTTTGTTTCCCTTTAGACTTTATTTTATTTTTTAATCACAGCTCTTTATGTACTAAAATATGTTACTTCTGGCAGCTCCGATTCACTTAATTACCGAAAGTTACTATCTTTTTGAGGCGATTAATAACTCGTTAAAAGACTTGGGGACAAACTGGGATGATTAAAATATTGCCGCGTTATGTCAAAGTTATAAATCTGCCTTGCTCTTAATGAGTGAATTGCTTAGATTTAAAAATAGCGCTTTGAGAGGAGCATTCTTATTAAAGAATGGAGTATTATTTAGCCACTTATGCTGACCTTGTCGAAAAATTTGGGTGTTGCCAAAGCATAATTAGTATAAGCTCATCTTTCCATTCGTTTAATCTTATGGAAAGATTTGCCTGGCAAAAGGATAGCTAATAGAGCTATTTGTATTTCTTTAGTTAATGGGAAAAGGAGCACAGCATTAAGAGACCTATTAGTTTTCTATTATCTAAAGCCAAAAAAACCTAACTGTTTTGAGCTGTCAGTTACAACGTTTTTTTACAATATTTCATTAACAGATGTATAATGTTTACAGAAGAAAGATGTCAACGTCTCTTTTTTATATTTAAGCGATGCTGATGTTCGACAAAACCATGGTTGAATTTGTTACCATGCTAGATCACCCTGCGATCTATCAAGAAACACACTTGTCACAAAATAAAGCTTCCTTGGGGCAAACAGATAAATAGATTATAAAAAGCTGATTACTTCACTTTCATACTTGCTTGGATTTTATTTAACAAAAGCTAAACAAGGATTAACACTTGCAACTTTATGCATTTATGTGGATTGAGGGAGAAACTGTCATAGATATTTGAGATAAAAGTGTGTTTAGTTATTCTTTTGAGTTTAAATTGATAATTTCTATGCTTCTGTTTACATGTTGCTACCACCCACACAGGGACCGGTAAACAACTATACAGCTTGGGATTACAATTGGTTTCTGACTGCTGGTCCATTAGCCTTTCTTCGTCTGGGGTCTCAAATTTGCCCTCAAATTCATCGAATATTTTCTACTCTACTCATTTCCGAAACCTTTGAAGATACAGAATCGGCCAGTAATGCAGACGAGGCAATTAATGGGACTGTTGAATGCCGGCCTTGGATGCATATGCACAGTGACTCAGAACTGGCGAATTTGGCGGACTTAGGCATTGTTGAGGAGGATGGGAAAACCGAAGTGAAGAAGCAGGAGTCAGAGCAGAACCCAACTGAAGATATTCACACTTACGGTAGAGATATTATATCTCAACAGCAAGTGCAGAGTTCCAGCTATGGCTATCGACAAATCTCTCCTGGCCCTAACGTCACTGTTCTAGGGGAAGATGAACTAATGATCATCAAAGCGGACGGCTATTCTCGGAGTGGCAAAGAGAAATCTACGCTGGGTGGTCGGATATTGAGAAGTCGGTCATTGTTTGGCGAATTGTTGGCAAGCAGAAACATGACGGCGAGCCTCCCCTCAAGTATTTCAGGAAACTGTGATTCCAGCAGCTGCTGTTTAGGTACAGAGGAGTTGGCCTCAAGGCTCAGTCTAGTGGGGGACGAGTTTGAGTCATATCTTCAGGTATGCAGTAATACAAAATATCACACTAATATATAGTTTATTAATAAGGTGTCAATAAACCCTTGCTTTAAAAAAGGTGTTAAAACCAATAAAACTTTGTAATATTTTGTGAATTGCCCAAAAATATTAATGGGCCTTTTTTAACACATTGTGTACAGATGTAGAAAACCTTTATTTTTTCAATATTTTTTTATTTACATAAAGTAAATGGTTTTGTAGTGATTGTGCCATATTCAATTTGTGTAATTTTATTATTGCTCACTGGAATTCGTTCTTTAAAATTTCGCTGAGATGAAATTTAACATGATATTTTTGTTAGACTTCAAGTATTTCATTCTGCATTAATTATAGTTAGAGTTATGCAACTGGAAATACTGACTCTAGTTAAGACGGTTTAATATAGTATCAACGGCTTCGTAGGCAATTCTCATCAAAAGGTGGAAGAAGATGATAGCCTTTGTTCCATTCTCTCCGACATTATCGCAGTCTTCGAGGCCCACGTTTCAGCTGATATTTTTAGAGAAAAATAACACATTTTATGGGCATTATTAAACAAATTTCTGCATGACTTAGGCCTTTCTTTTCTTTAGCCAATCTCAACTTACTATAAGTAATTGTGTACTGATATGAATTTGGCTACAAATCTATAGTAAAGTATATATGGAAGTTATTCCTGTAGTCTTCAGGATATTTGCCGGTCTTGCGATCTAAGTATTACGTTAAGTATTATTTTATTGTATATCGCTCTGGCACAACTCGAATGTCTTCACAAATAGCCTATTAATGAGCATTTTAATGGCTGCCAGACATGCATTCTGATTATAGAAGCCTCCTTTAACAAGACCTGCTGGCGTTTACCCAGTTTGGCCTCTAATTTACGACCTTTTAGATTGCATATTGTTTAGCTAAATCCTTAAATGATAAGACTAGAGCTTTAACTGTTGCCTGGCTCAAGGCTGAATGGTAGATAAAAAATCGCCGCTTCGTTATGCTCGAAATACCAATTCAGCTAAACAGAATTTTGATAATTCTGTATTGAAACTGCTTGAATACCGTCTTCTTGTTTGAATTATGTCTGTGGCTTGACGCATTAAAGTAAGATTGCTGTATTTTTCGCATTTAGAATTGTTTCGAGACTACCAGTAAATCATCACCTTAAACGAAATTGCGTGAATACATCTCATAAGATTGCTGTATTTGCCAACCTCTGGCTAGGACTGTTACGCGAGTCATATATTAAAAGTTTATAAAAATGTCAAAATAACTTTATTTGTAAGCAACTCCTCGGACAATAAATTAAGATGAGAACACTCACTCATCCTAAGCCTGATATACAATCTATCAACACCAAACCCATTATCCATTGCTTCAAATATTAGGCCAAACTGCTTCGAAATGCTAAACTGATGCTACCTGCTTCTACAGAAAACGCCTTGTATTTATAAGTAACTAGTTTTCAAGTAGACTCTGGAAATATAAGTGTTAAGCTGGCATTCCTTCCGTTGGAATTTTACCAAATAACGTGCCAGATCCTATGGTGGTCTAATGTTCATATAGACGTAGTCCTCGAGACACCTTTATTCGTCTTCTTTTGAAAGTTTGCCTGGCCTTCGTCTTTTATGCCATTTCAAAGATATCATTAGTGCAAGAAAACATTATACTTCTAACCCTAAGCTTACAACGAATCTTGTATAAAAAACCTTCCCCAAACGGACAGTCTGCTCAATATTATAGGGCCCTTGTTCCAAAGCTTTTTATTTTACTTCCTTTGACACAATTATCAGCTGAAAATTTGTTGTTGTGTTTACCGAGGTTTACTTCGGACCGCCTCCATAATGAAAATGAAGCAATATAGAGAAGGGGACTTTTCAACGCTGGCTGGCAGCATCATGCTCATTTGCACCAGAAAATAAAAAGGTATACTTTTCTGCTTAATATAAATAAGTGGATAAATGTCCTTTTATAACTTTGAACTCACATTTGCCACTCTCTCTTGCCAGTTACTGACAATTACAATGACTTTAGAGTGGCATATCTTCATGCTGTGTGCTAGTCGTTAGTTTAAATGTAGAGCGTTATCCCTTATAAATAATTCCGATAATCAAAGGTATAAAAGTTTTTAACTAATCTAGAATTCCTTTTTTCCTCTAATAGAGCATGTCACGGAGAGAGTCGAACTACATCAGGTTCCCCCGGGGCCATTCATTCATATCAAAAAAGCTACGAAGAGAAGAATAGCCAGTGATAGATCTGTCTGTCCTAACGGTTTTCATCATTCAAGTCTACGCTGAAAATTATCTCGTATCGACTCATCCCAGACATATCTGTATCATAGTTTGCAATGTAAAAAAGGCTTTTTATATATTGGCTTTGCCAATGTCGTAAAGAGCAATCAAACAATTATATATGACTATATTTCAGATAAAGGCATAAACAATTATCAAAGAGATGAGAATACTCGAAAAGCGCCATTTTATACTAGCACAGACATATTATTCTCATTTATTATTTTATATTTCTTTATTATCCATTGCAGCAGCCAATATTGAGGCAAATATTGGTTTATGTTGAATAATAAATTTGAGCCTATATACTTGATTAATATGAATAAAAACGCTGTTTTAGGCCATGCAAGACTTGCCAAACTCATGTTTCAATTATTCCTAGGAAATATATAGGCCTATTAGGATGGGACAAGCCAGAAGAGTACAAAGTGATCTTATTGCCTTCCCGAGAGGTTGTTCCTTGCCTTTACTAGAAGCATGGTCTATCCCTCTGCAAAAGCCGTACATTAAGGAGGGGTTGACCGGATACACTAATTAGACTGAGGAGACTCAATCTGCCATCTTGTATATTTTCAAAAATGCACTTTATTCCTCATTGCTAGGACAAACGTTCCCTTTATATGAAGCATTTATTTAAAAAAGAATATTGCATTATAGTGCCTTTTTTCTCAAAGTCTCCTTGTAATCAATATTTATTTAGGAGCAAGCAACAGCTGGGCCAAATGCTAAGGTCATGAGTCTCACTATCTCACTTTACTCATAGCCCCTGTAACATGTCGACACTCTCGCAACCTTACGTATGCATGCTGGCGAATGCGTGTGTTTGACCGAAATTTACTATCTCTATATTATATTCGCAATTATGAATAGTTCTTACCTTATATCTCATGTGCTGCATGCTACAGTGCATTCATCTGTACCAGTTAATAACAAAGCTTCATAGTGAATCAGCTGAAATTGGACGATAACTGAATTATCATTTTAACCAAGCACTTGAAACTGCCATTCTGTGGGCTGCTTTTTTATGTTAGTATGTAGGAGTGACTTTAAAAACGACGAATTCAAAAATTTACTAATTTTTTTATCTTTTCATGATTGCACGCAAACATAGCTCATGATAATCGGAACCAGTTCCTACGTTTCCATTATGTTGGCTCGTTACTGATTAATTGGTTAACTAAAATGCAAACGAGTAGAACTACTACATGTGCATTAACAAACTTCTCCCAATTACTTCTGTCAGAGAAAGTGAAGCTCAAAGTTCTTAATAGCGGCAAAGGGTTAGCCTTCTTCTCTGGTTCACTAAGCCAGTAGATCTCAATAAAGCTTTTCGAAGTATTACAAAAGCCTACCAATAAATATTATAGTATATTTATTTATATATTCGTATGCAATTTGGACACTTCATTTAAGCATAACTTTCCCGTATGGAGCTAATGCATCTCAGCTAGCAATAATGTATGAAATAAAAAAAACAAAAACAAAAAGGATCACCTATTGGTCGTGCTAACACTAAAGAGCAAGGATACTTAAAAGTACCATAGTATATTATTCAAAAGAAGAGGAAAGAAATTAGTTGGATTTTTCTGTATAATATTGACATTGTAGATTGGCCTTCACGAATGTCTAGTGAAAATACTTCTGTTACTATTCTGTATTTAGCCTGTTTTCTTCGAGTATTGCAAAATTAGTCGCTGACCAAAAGTCATTGCACTCCAATAAACGTATACAGAGCTGGAATCTTTACTGATATGAAGGATTACCACTTGACTTAAAACGAGATGGTTCATTTACCTATCCTTACAATGGGCTATCTACAAATTTGAACATAATAATGTATAAGCTGATTTGGATATTTACTATCTTGTCTTTCTCTTAAACTGCGTCTTTTAATTTCAAGGCAATGGATCTGGTAAAAAGATATGTTTCCATGGCCATTTACATGGGAGAATCCGTTTGCGATAGCGCAACTTAAATAAACTCCACTTTGACCCACATGTGGTTTCTGCTTTCCATTTCATGTATAACATTAGGCGAGCGAATAAAGAAATATTAGGTCATCTCGAGCAGATTCATCACTGGTAATTTGATGTATGATATGAGATGTAGGGTTTATTTTACTAGACAAACGGTGTAACTCAATGTATGGCATTAAGATCCAGTTAAGTCTAAATAGAACAGGTAACTTGCTTTGTGTATAATAAAAGCTTCCATAAAAGTATGCTATCCTTCGGAGGTAGAGTTAGAGCTTTATCTAATTTAGCCTTTCAACTTTGGGGACTCAAAAGTAGGGACACAAAGGTTAGCAAGAAAAAAACGTAATGAAGCGGAAGGAATGCCTTATAGTTCACTATGTACAAGAACGTGGATTTTAGCTACAAATAAGAGTCACGCATAAGATACATTAACATTAATATCAAATATTATTAAATAATTGCTAAATGGTCAGAAAATGGAGAAAGGCTAGAAGAAAGTATAAAATATTATATAGACCAATTCACAGTCTGGGTAACTAAATAGGGCTAGGTTCGAATGTGTAAGAAAGCGCAGTAAAAAATAAATTATATATTTAATATTGAAATTATCATAAAAGAATAATAAGAATTGGGTGATCTTGGTAAAGTGACTTCTAATAATGACTAGAACGACTGTCAGATTAAGTAGTAAGGATAATATTGAGCTTACCTACATTTTAGGTGGAGATGCTTGGTAAAGACATTCAAAGTTCGATTCCGCCAGAAGACAACGGAGGATTCCTTTTTACCAGCTGTCGATTGGCTTTATTGAAACATTCTTGTTGACACTGTTTCCGAGGTAATCTCCTTCGATTCCGGTGCAAACGTGCTAAGCTTTCGTTCATCATATGAGGAACATCATCAAAGTAAGTTATCATTCTTACAACCAAATTCAAGCTAACTAGTCAAGAAGGCTCACCGGAAAATCTCTAAAACGCTGTAGATATACTCTATATCTGTATCTAGCATAGTTAGTACATTAAATGTAAGGAATACCGACAAGAAAATAAGAAAAAATTACTTGTGCTTTATTAATAGACTCGAGGAAAGAGGAAGAAAGGAGGCGACTCAACTAGTCTTTCCTTGCC